ATGTGGAAATACTCGTTAAATTAAAAGTACCTCAGATATTTACCAATACTTTCTTTACTTAAAGGGGACCTATCATGCAAAATGCACTTGTGTACGTCTTTTCTACATGAATATGTGTCCCCGGTGTTCCAGGGAACTCACCAAGTGTCAGAAAACACAACCCTCTCTATTTTCCTCCATACCCAAATCTCTAAAAAAGGGGCTGCAACGGATCTGATAAAAACTGATCCAGATTTGAACACTGTCCTGACGTCAGGACAGTGGCGCTACGGCTATTGGGCCAACTCCACCAATCAGGAGGAGACAGCCACGGCCATTGCCGTTCGAAAGCGCTGGAGACGCTGTAGTACATATGCCAGGCCTGTAGATGGTGCTGTTCTCACAGAATCAGCCCTTGCAGAGCAGAGCTAGAAATTGTCAAATTGAGCGAAATGAGGCATGGCTAAAATGCATGATCTGTTTGGTATTTTCAAAAAAAAAAAAGTATAAATATACCTTATATAGGTATGGTCCTACACTATATTATTCAAATATAGCATGATAGGTCCACTTTAAGTTGATTTTAACAAACCAACAGAAGAATATACAGCTCGTCAATCCTGCAGCCTTTCCTGGAAACACTACCAGACTGTGTGTGTGTGTGTGTGTGTGTGTGTGTGTGTGTGTGTGTGTGTGTGTGTGTGTGTGTGTGTGTGTGTTTTGTAAGTGTGTGTGTTTGCTGTCAGTAGGTATTTGAGGTTTTAGAGCAAAATCGAAGCAGACTTTGTCAGTGAGAATAAAACACTCACTGCAGTACTCCCATCTTGTTCTCTCCTGACTGTGTGTGTGTGTGTGTGTGTGTGTGTGTGTGTGTGTATGTGTGTGTGTGTGTGTGTGTTTGTTTGTGTGTATGCGCTGTCAGTGTGTGCGCTGTCGGTGTGTGTGTGCTTTTGGTGTTAGCATACAGTGTCAAACGAGGTTATCTGCAGGGGAAGCAGCACAGTGTGAATCGCTCACTGAACACACTGATACTGCACACACACACACACACACACACACACACACACACACACACACACACACACACACACACACACACACCCCACTCTGGTTAATTGTGCTTAATTGCATGTGACAGGTGTTGACAGCTCCCAGCGGTGGCCTCTCCATCACCTCTCTCTCCCTCTCTCTCTCTCTCTCTCTCTCTCTCTCTCTCTCTCTCTCTCTCTCTCTCTCTCTCTTCGTAGTCATTTAGTGTCTCTTTGAAATCATTTTTTATATCTTTGTAGTCATTTTGTGTCTCTTTGTAGTCATTTTGTGTCTCTTTGTAGTCATTGTGTGTCTCTTTGAAGTCATTGTGTGTCTCTTTGAAGTCATTTTGTGTCTCTTTGTAGTCATTGTGTCTCTTTGTAGTCATTGTGTGTCTCTTTGAAGTCATTGTGTCTCTTTGTAGTCATTGTGTGTCTCTTTGAAGTCATTGTGTGTCTCTTTGAAGTCATTGTGTCTCTTTGTAGTCATTGTGTGTCTCTTTGAAGTCATTGTGTGTCTCTTTGAAGTCATTGTGTCTCTTTGTAGTCATTGTGTGTCTCTTTGTAGTCATTGTGTCTCTTTGAAGTCATTGTGTCTCTTTGTAGTCATTGTGTCTCTTTGTAGTCATTTTGTGTCTCTTTGTAGTCATTGTGTCTCTTTGTAGTCATTTTGTGTCTCTTTGAAGTCATTTTGTGTCTCTTTGTAGTCATTGTGTGTCTCTTTGTAGTCATTGTGTCTCTTTGAAGTCATTGTGTCTCTTTGAAGTCATTGTGTGTCTCTTTGTAGTCATTGTGTCTCTTTGAAGTCATTGTGTGTCTCTTTGTAGTCATTGTGTCTCTTTGTAGTCATTTTGTGTCTCTTTGTAGTCATTGTGTGTCTCTTTGAAGTCATTTTGTGTCTCTTTGTAGTCATTGTGTGTCTCTTTGTAGTCATTGTGTCTCTTTGAAGTCATTGTGTCTCTTTGAAGTCATTTTGTGTCTCTTTGAAGTCATTGTGTGTCTCTTTGAAGTCATTGTGTGTCTCTTTGTAGTCATTGTGTCTCTTTGAAGTCATTTTGTGTCTCTTTGAAGTCATTGTGTGTCTCTTTGTAGTCATTGTGTCTCTTTGAAGTCATTGTGTCTCTTTGAAGTCATTTTGTGTCTCTTTGAAGTCATTGTGTGTCTCTTTGAAGTCATTGTGTGTCTCTTTGTAGTCATTGTGTCTCTTTGAAGTCATTGTGTCTCTTTGTAGTCATTTTGTGTCTCTTTGTAGTCATTGTGTGTCTCTTTGAAGTCATTGTGTCTCTTTGAAGTCATTGTGTGTCTCTTTGAAGTCATTGTGTCTCTTTGTAGTCATTTTGTGTCTCTTTGTAGTCATTGTGTCTCTTTGTAGTCATTGTGTGTCTCTTTGTAGTCATTTTGTGTCTCTTTGTAGTCATTGTGTGTCTCTTTGAAGTCATTGTGTCTCTTTGAAGTCATTGTGTGTCTCTTTGAAGTCATTGTGTCTCTTTGTAGTCATTTTGTGTCTCTTTGTAGTCATTTTTTATATCTTTGTAGTCATTGTGTCTCTTTGTAGTCATTGTGTGTCTCTTTGAAGTCATTGTGTGTCTCTTTGTAGTCATTGTGTGTCTCTTTGAAGTCATTGTGTCTCTTTGTAGTCATTTTGTGTCTCTTTGTAGTCATTGTGTCTCTTGTAGTCATTGTGTGTCTCTTTGTAGTCATTTTGTGTCTCTTTGAAGTCATTGTGTCTCTTTGTAGTCATTGTGTGTCTCTTTGAAGTCATTGTGTCTCTTTGTAGTCATTTTGTGTCTCTTTGTAGTCATTGTGTGTCTCTTTGTAGTCATTTTGTGTCTCTTTGAAGTCATTGTGTCTCTTTGAAGTCATTGTGTGTCTCTTTGTAGTCATTTTGTGTCTCTTTGTAGTCATTTTGTGTCTCTTTGTAGTCATTTTGTGTCTCTTTGTAGTCATTGTGTGTCTCTTTGTAGTCATTTTTTATATCTTTGTAGTCATTGTGTCTCTTTGAAGTCATTGTGTCTCTTTGTAGTCATTTTTTATATCTTTGTAGTCATTGTGTCTCTTTGTAGTCATTTTGTGTCTCTTTGTAGTCATTGTGTGTCTTTGTAGTCATTTTGTGTCTCTTTGTAGTCATTGTGTGTCTCTTTGAAGTCATTTTTTATATCTTTGTAGTCATTGTGTGTCTCTTTGAAGTCATTTTGTGTCTCTTTGTAGTCATTTTGTGTCTTTGTAGTCATTGTGTGTCTCTTTGAAGTCATTTTTTATATCTTTGTAGTCATTGTGTGTCTCTTTGAAGTCATTTTGTGTCTCTTTGAAGTCATTGTGTCTCTTTGTAGTCATTGTGTGTCTCTTTGTAGTCATTGTGTGTCTCTTTGTAGTCATTGTGTGTCTCTTTGAAGTCATTGTGTGTCTCTTTGTAGTCATTGTGTGTCTCTTTGAAGTCATTGTGTGTCTCTTTGAAATCATTTTTTATATCTTTGTAGTCATTGTGTGTCTCTTTGTAGTCATTGTGTGTCTCTTTGTAGTCATTGTGTGTCTCTTTGAAGTCATTGTGTGTCTCTTTGTAGTCATTGTGTGTCTCTTTGAAGTCATTGTGTGTCTCTTTGAAGTCATTGTGTGTCTCTTTGAAGTCATTGTGTGTCTCTTTGAAGTCATTTTGTGTCTCTTTGTAGTCATTTTGTGTCTCTTTGTAGTCATTTTGTGTCTTTGTAGTCATTGTGTGTCTCTTTGAAGTCATTTTTTATATCTTTGTAGTCATTGTGTGTCTCTTTGAAGTCATTTTGTGTCTCTTTGAAGTCATTGTGTCTCTTTGTAGTCATTGTGTGTCTCTTTGTAGTCATTGTGTGTCTCTTTGTAGTCATTGTGTGTCTCTTTGAAGTCATTGTGTGTCTCTTTGTAGTCATTGTGTGTCTCTTTGAAGTCATTGTGTGTCTCTTTGAAATCATTTTTTATATCTTTGTAGTCATTGTGTGTCTCTTTGTAGTCATTGTGTGTCTCTTTGTAGTCATTGTGTGTCTCTTTGAAGTCATTGTGTGTCTCTTTGTAGTCATTGTGTGTCTCTTTGAAGTCATTGTGTGTCTCTTTGAAGTCATTGTGTGTCTCTTTGTAGTCATTGTGTGTCTCTTTGTAGTCATTGTGTGTCTTTGAAGTCATTTTGTGTCTCTTTGTAGTCATTTTGTGTCTCTTTGAAGTCATTGTGTGTCTCTTTGTAGTCATTTTGTGTCTCTTTGAAGTCATTGTGTGTCTCTTTGTAGTCATTGTGTGTCTCTTTGAAGTCATTTTGTGTCTCTTTGTAGTCATTGTGTGTCTCTTTGAAGTCATTTTGTGTCTCTTTGAAGTCATTTTGTGTCTCTTTGTAGTCATTGTGTGTCTCTTTGAAGTCATTTTGTGTCTCTTTGAAGTCATTTTGTGTCTCTTTGAAGTCGTTTTGTGTCTCTTTGTAGTCATTTTGTGTCTCTTTGAAGTCGTTTTGTGTCTCTTTGAAGTCATTTTGTGTCTCTTTGAAGTCGTTTTGTGTCTCTTTGTAGTCATTGTGTGTCTCTTTGTAGTCATTGTGTGTCTCTTTGAAGTCATTTTGTGTCTCTTTGAAGTCGTTTTGTGTCTCTTTGTAGTCATTGTGTGTCTCTTTGTAGTCATTTAGTGTCTCTTTGAAGTCGTTTTGTGTCTCTTTGAAGCCATTTTGTGTCTCTTTGAAGTCGTTTTGTGTCTCTTTGAAGTCGTTTTGTGTCTCTTTGTAGTCATTGTGTGTCTCTTTATATTCGTTTCGTATCTTTGGACGTAATTTTGTGTGGCTGGTAATCATTTTGTGTTGTTTTGTCTCTTTGTAGCCCTTTGTGTCCCCTTGTTGTCATTTTGTGTCTCTTTGATGTCACTTTGCATCTCTTTTTGGTTACCTTAAGACTCTTTTAACGGATCTTGCAGTCATCTAGTGTCTCTCAGATGATTTATTTTCCTCTGACGTCCCTTTAATCTTAAATCTTTCTTCTTCGTACCCTTCAGACTCGTCTCTGTCGAGGATGAGCCCCTGCTCGGAGGCGGGGAAACCCTGTAACCCGTGTCTGGACGCGGCGAAGTCGTGTAATCTGAACGAGACGTGCAAACGCCTTCGATCTGCATACAACTCCATCTGCAGCAAGGCCACGCCCCCTCAGCCCACGCTGGCCAATCAGGAGCCCTGCAGCCGCAAGAGGTGTCAGAAGGTGGGTGCAGAAATACCTTAAAAAATATATTTAAAAAAACTGGGTTTATTTCTAAAAACCAAGCAGCAACATAAAAAGACATGGCATTGTAGAATATAATATATATATAATATGTTCAAATAATTAAATAAAAAACTGAAAAACACACAATATTTTTTTTAATTAGTTCTTTACATTGCCGGAACTCACGAGAGTTTCCCTAAGAATATCCAAATGGACCAATCAAAAGTGCGTATTCAACCATGTGATGTAAAGAATGAATAAAATGCCCCCCTCTGTGCCCAGGCTCTGCGTCAGTTCTTCGAGCGAGTCTCCTGGGAGCTCAGCTACCCCCTGCTGTTCTGCTCCTGCTCGGATCAGGCCTGCGCCGAGCGCCGCCGCCGCACCATCGTCCCGTCCTGCTCCCACCAGGAGAGAACCAGGCCTTCCTGCCTGGAGCTGAGGGCCAACTGCCGCTCTGACGCGCTCTGCAGGTGAGAGCTAACGCTACCTATCGATATCTTTATCTATATCTATAGATATAAAGGAACTACAGCACGCTCAGACGCCCTCTGCAGGTTGCACGTTTTTAAACTTGAGGAAACTACTGTTTACCACTTAGGCAGCTAATGTTGGGCTATAAAGGAACTACAGCACGGTCACATGACTTCACGTCACCACCGCTAAGCTAAAGGAGGCTAATGTTGGGCTATAAAGGAACTACAGCACGGTCACATGACTTCACGTCTCCACCGCTAAGCTAAAGGAGGCTAATGTTGGGCTATAAAGGAACTACAGCACGGTCACATGACTTCACGTCACTACCGCTAAGCTAAAGGTGGCTAATGTTGGGCTATAAAGGAACTACAGCACGGTCACATGACTTCACGTCACTACCGCTAAGCTAAAGGAGGCTAATGTTGGGCTATAAAGGAACTACAGCACGGTCACATGACTTCACGTCACCACCGCTAAGCTAAAGGCGGCTAATGTTGGGCTATAAAGGAACTACAGCACGGTCACATGACTTCACGTCACCACCGCTAAGCTAAAGGCGGCTAATGTTGGGCTATAAAGGAACTACAGCACGGTCACATGACTTCACGTCACCACCGCTAAGCTAAAGGAGGCTAATGTTGGGCTATAAAGGAACTACAGCACGGTCACATGACTTCACGTCACTACCGCTAAGCTAAAGGTGGCTAATGTTGGGCTATAAAGGAACTACAGCACGGTCACACGACTTCACGTCACTACCGCTAAGCTAAAGGCGGCTAATGTTGGGCTATAAAGGAACTCAAGCACGGTCACATGACTTCACGTCACCACCGCTAAGCTAAAGGTGGCTAATGTTGAGCTATAAAGGAACTACAGCACGGTCACATGACTTCACGTCTCCACCGCTAAGCTAAAGGTGGCTAATGTTGGGCTATAAAGGAACTACAGCACGGTCACATGACTTCACGTCACCACCGCTAAGCTAAAGGCGGCTAATGTTGGGCTATAAAGGTCACATGACTTCAAGTCATCTGGAGTGATGACATGCAGAGTCATCTGAAGGTTTTAGGACTAATTCCTACAGCTCTGTAAACATTGCTGCATGGTTCTGGAGTCGTTGGGTCTCAAGACATGGAAGCTTTTGAAAATAAATGAGATCCACAGCATGTAGGGTTTAAAGAAGAGGCTAAATATTGAATGCAAACTATGAGATAAAACTGATATTTGCTCCCTGTGTATATATATATGATACTTCTCATATATCTCTACTTCCTGCTGAGTGTTTCCTCGCTGCAGCTGTGACTGAACTCTGAATCTGCAATGCTAATATTGCTCCGGTCCAAAAACCCTCAGAGCTCCCGCAGGTCTGCATTACTGGAGACAAAGACCGTATTTAATTACTCTGTCTGTCAATCAGAGCCCCAGCTGTCATTTCATCACAGCAGGGGGTCCAGAACCCAGAGGACTCTGAATAAAATCAGGTTAATGGAGGCTCAACTAAGAGGAGAAGTACTCAGATCTGGTACTTGAGTAAAAGTAGAAGTACTCAGATCTGGTACTTGAGTAAAAGGAGAAGTACTCAGATCTGGTACTTGAGTAAAAGTAGAAGTACTCAGATCTGGTACTTGAGTAAAAGTAGAAGTACTCAGATCTACTTGAGTAAAAGTAGAAGTACTCAGGTATTGTACTTGAGTAAAAGTAGAAGTACTCAGGTCTTATGCTTGAGTAAAAGTAGAAGTACTCAGATCTTGTACTTGAGTAAAAGTAGAAGTACTCAGATCTTGTACTTGAGTAAAAGTAGAAGTACTCAGATCTTGTACTTGAGTAAAAGTAGAAGTACTCAGGTCTTGTGCTTGAGTAAAAGTAGAAGTACTCAGATCTTGTGCTTGAGTAAAAGTAGAAGTACTCAGATCTTGTAGTAAAAGTAGAAGTACTCAGATCTTGTACTTGAGTAAAAGTAGAAGTACTCAGATCTGGTACTTGAGTAAAAGTAGAAGTACTCAGATCTGGTACTTGAGTAAAAGTAGAAGTACTCAGATCTTGTACTTGAGTAAAAGTAGAAGTACTCAGGTCTTGTACTTGAGTAAAAGTAGAAGTACTCAGATCTACTTGAGTAAAAGTAGAAGTACTCAGGTCTTGTACTTGAGTAAAAGTAGAAGTACTCAGATCTTGTGCTTGAGTAAAAGTAGAAGTACTCAGATCTTGTAGTAAAAGTAGAAGTACTCAGATCTTGTACTTGAGTAAAAGTAGAAGTACACAGATCTGGTACTTGAGTAAAAGTAGAAGTACTCAGGTCTTGTACTTGAGTAAAAGTGTAAGTACCAGAGTGTAGGAATACTCTGCTATGGTGCACCACCGTTGATGTTGTTTCGCGTCCAGGCAAAATAGTTGTGTTTCTTTCTGTCCTCATTATAGAAGATATTACAACAACTGCCGCTTTATACCTTCTGTGGAAGACCATCAAACGTTGCAGCAAACGTCGTCGTGTCTGGGTTCATTATCATCCAGCGTCGCACACAGTTTGGAGAATTTCATCGTCTCACCCAGGAACTGATGACTCACGTTTCCCTACGGTATTTGAGGAGGACCAGTGATCAGTTTGATGATCTGTGAACTCTCCACAAACAGCTATCAACATGTGTTCTTCCATCTTCACATCTGAACAACGTCAGGACGTCAGAGGGAATCCCAACACTGATTGGCTTTCGCAAGAATGCAAATGTGACGCTCGAGTTGAAAATATTTTTTACTCGAGTTGAAAAGATTTTGACGCGGCCCCCTTCAATCGAGTTCACGCCGCCGAAGCAAATTGGCGTCTATCCGCATCTTGACATTGACTTTAAATTAATTTGCGACGCGCCCAAAAATCGCATCACGTCCGGTGTGAACGCACCATAACAAGAAAAGTACAAACGTATAAACATTGAAGATATTACTGAATTGGGATGATTATTTTATTGGTTTTGACATTAAAATATTGGCTGTCTTGATCATTTTAACATCTTCATTCAAAAATAAACTTTAGACATTCTCACATGTTGTTGTTTCTGCTGCACGAGATTGAACTGCTGCAGTTTGTCTGTTTTTTGAAGCTGCAGAGAAAGCTTCAGGCTGTTTCTCTCACACTGAGAATTTGGATTAATATTTGTGTGTGTGTGTGTGTGTGTGTGTGTGTGTGTGTGTGTTCTCCCTGTGGAGTCCCTAAACACACACAGCGTCACATCCTGCAGCTTTAACAAACAGGTTTTTCCTCTTTAAAACGTTTGTAAATCGGAATTAAATCACATTTTCCTCAGATTGTCTCCTGACAATAATCTCAGCCACGAACATTCAAACAATATTTCAGATATTATCAAATGTACAGGAGCTTACTTATATATTTATACGCATGTTGTGTGCGTCACTCTTAGTGTCCCCTGGTCTCCCAGCTGTGTGCGTCACTCTTTAGTGTCCCCTGGTCTCCAGCTGTGTGCGTCACTCTTTAGTGTCCCCTGGTCTCCCAGCTGTGTGCTTCACTCTTTAGTGTCCCCTGGTCTCCCAGCTGTGTGCGTCACTCTTTAGTGTCCCCTGGTCTCCCAGCTGTGTGCGTCACTCTTTAGTGTCCCCCTGGTCTCCAGATGTGTGCGTCACTCTTAGTGTCCCCTGGTCTCCCAGCTGTGTGCGTCACTCTTTAGTGTCCCCTGGTCTACCAGCTGTGTGCGTCACTCTTCAGTGTCCCTGGTCTCCAGCTGTGTGCGTCACTCTTTAGTGTCCCCTGGTCTCCCAGCTGTGTGCGTCACTCTTTAGTGTCCCCTGGTCTCCCAGCTGTGTGCGTCTCTCTTTAGTGTCCCCTGGTCTCCCAGCTGTGTGCGTCACTCTTTAGTGTCCCCTGGTCTCCCAGATGTGTGCGTCACTCTTTAGTGTCCCCTGGTCTCCCAGCTGTGTGCGTCACTCTTTAGTGTCCCCTGGTCTCCCAGCTGTGTGCGTCACTCTTTAGTGTCCCCTGGTCTCCCAGCTGTGTGCGTCACTCTTTAGTGTCCCCTGGTCTCCCAGCTGCGTGCGTCACTCTTTAGTGTCCCCTGGTCTCCCAGCTGCGCGCGTCACTCTTTAGTGTCCCCTGGTCTCCCAGCTGCGTGCGTCACTCTTTAGTGTCCCCTGGTCTCCAGCTGCGCGCGTCACTCTTTAGTGTCCCCTGGTCTCCCAGCCGCGTGCGTCACTCTTTAGTGTCCCCTGGTCTCCCAGCTGCGCGCGTCACTCTTTAGTGTCCCCTGGTCTCCCAGCTGCGTGCGTCACTCTTTAGTGTCCCCTTACAGACTGACTGAAACATACGAATAAGATTTATAAACATGATTTGAAGACATTCTGCATTTAGTCCACTTTATTGGGCCTTTTTCACACGTACACAGTAACCCTTGTGAGGACTCTGTGATGCGCCTCTTCTCTCTGATTCTGCAGGAAGTAATCAGTGAAATCAGCTGAAGGAGGGTTTCATTAGACAGGAAGTCAGCACACTTGTGGATCAAAATTACCCGTTTGATTGGTAACTACCAGCTTTAAAGGTTAGAGGGACTGAAGTGGGGGAGTGACACCCTCGTCTCACCCCTCTTTATCAGGGACTGGGTGCCCTTCAGGAAAGAGTGTGTTGGGAAAAGGGCAATAATACAACTCTCCAAAGATGGTTAAAATAAATAGAAAATAAAAATAAATTCAAAATGGTACAATAAATATACATTTAAGTTTTTATAATTAGGTACAAATATTTAGAAAATTCAGAAAATTAAAAATAATAATAACAAAATCTAAAAAGATAATTAAAAATGAATGAATAATTCTAACCGGCTTCACCTCAGAGTGTTTTGCGTTTTTTAACCTGTTTGTATCATCCAAACTCTGCAGTGTCAAATAAATCCTGTTCATGTCTGTCTTTGGATTTAGAAATGATTTGTAATGACTCACTGCTGCGGGATATGATGCTTTGTCTCAGAGGAGGAATGTTAATGCTTCCTCTGTTTTACAT